AAATTGCAATTTTGACACATTTTTGAGTTTATATATTATAACTAGGGCTGTGCAAAAATTAATTGCGATTAATCGCATCCAAAATAAAAGTCTGTGTTTACATTATATATTTGTGTGTGCTGTATATAATTATTTTGTATATATAAATACACACACATGCATGTATATATTTAAGAAAATGTGTTATTCATATATAAAATATTTATATTTATATAATATAGATTATGTATTTATAAATATATGCAGAATTTAAGCGCAAATAATTCTTAAATATATACATGCATGCATAGGTATTTATATATACAAAATAATTATATACAGCACACACAAATATTTTATGTAAACACAGACTTTTATTTTGGATGCGATTAATCGCAATTAACTTTTGCACAGCCCTAATTATAACTGTGAGTTTATATCTCATAATTCTGCATATATTGGTGCATATATTGGAACAAAACTATTGAGGGAAGGAGATACAGCAACACAGGATTTTTTCCTAAATAATTTCATATTACACTCTAAAAAATGCTGGGTTGTTTAAACCCAAAGTTGGGTCAAATATGGACAAACCCAACTATTGGGTTAAGTCTTAAATATAACATTTAACCCAATAGTTGAGTTTGTCCATATTTATAATAAAGTTCTTGAGCAGAAGTGTTGCTGGAGCGCTTTCCCTCAATGCATTTAAAAAATATGTAACTATGTTTCAAGCATCTCCAATGAATTGCTTCATTAAAAACGGATCCTGAAAATCTATTCCTGCAGTGAATCGAGTGCTAAATCAACACGGACACTGTGTGCAAATATACGCCATGCGGCGGATTCCTCTCAGAGTGCTTTACTCACTTTTCAATGTTCTGATTTGTGATTATTTTGTAGACTACATGATCTGTAACCTCACGGTTCATTTCAAATGGCCCACAAATGAAGCCATTTCACTTCCAGAGCTGATTGTTCTCGCGAAAAGAGAATTAGCGATTAGCAATTAGCGTTACTAATGACATCGGTTCAACTCTGGTTCGGAGCGGTCAGTCGAGTTTTGTTTTTCTCTCCTCCGCGCTCTTCCACCTCTTGAATGTCCCTCGGTTCCACCTTCATTTGTGAGGCATAAACATTTGCCTGAACCGAGCGCAGGGAGCTCATTTCTCAGCGTTCCGGTGGACAGTTGTCCTGTGGGTTAATGGCTCACCGAAGACCAGAATCAGAGCAGATGAAAGAAAGCAAAGGGCCCTCGTTTTCTCTCATTAATCATGCTTGTTTTCTTTTGGCTGATCTTTTCACCCAGCTTTAAGGACCTGTCCGCTCGACTCGGGGCTCGTCCGAGGTGCAAAGGGCCGCCAGGGGCCTCTGGGAGCCTCTCGATCTCTCAGCTAGAGTATCCTCCGGGGGCCTGAATCAGACTGCGCTTTAATGGCTTTTGTAATGGCAAATTATAAAGGCGCTACGAGGGGGAAGATTAATCGGGGGTGGTCTGAGGGGTAGGAAAGCCTGGGATACGCGGTAACCCGAGAAAGTTAGCACAGCTCTGAAATATGAAGCGTGCTGCCCTCGTGACAACGCTAACGCAGACACATAAACCCTGCGACGGGACGTTCGGGTGTGTTTTTGTTGCCCGGGGGCAATGTGACCCCCAAAAAATCATTATCATTTATAATTTTAACGAATCGTTTTGTCAGCTTTTTCAACGGCATCATCATTCCTGTGCTAATAGATCGGGCGTAACTCCGATCGGGGCTTTTAATTCCCCCTCGGGCTTGGAAAGAGTGTTTGTGTGCGTTCTGTCAAAATTCAGTCAAATACAAATTAGAGACAAATTACGCACTAAATTTTTTTTTTTTTTTTTTTTTTAATAAGTCTTCAGTTAACATGCCACTGAATGGCATTACTAAATAAATAGTATAGGCTATTTATGGACTTAGGACTATCTTTTTCATGAGATGTCTCTGTTAGCATTTACAGTATCCAACAATTAAAAATGATTTCAGACAGAGTGTGAATGGCCCCTAAATCTTTCTTGGACGAACTGGCAAACATTAAATAGCATGATAGCAATAGCATATATGAATATATTAATATATATATATATATATATATATATATATATATATATATATATGAAGAGTTCAGATGCAAAAGCCTCTAAATGCCATTTGAAATTTTCTTCTTTAATGATGATTTTTATCAAACTTGTATATTTAAGTTCAGTAATTTCACTTAAATGGCAATGATAATTACCTATTAATTGTTATTTAAGTGAAATTACTGAACTTAAATATACAAGTTTGATAAAAATCATCATTAAAGAAGAAAATTTCAAATGGCATTTAGAGGCTTTTGCATCTGAACTCTTCATATACAAACACACTTTTAAAGAGACTTTTTCTTTATTCACAACTTTACTCACAACAATGTCTTAATTTGGGTACTTTTCTTGAAATTATTTATGCGATTTTGTGAATTGATTAAGTTAGTTAAATTTGTTAGACTGATTGGATCCATACACTCTAAAAAAATGCTGGGTCGTTTTAACCCATCTTTGGGTCAAATATGGACAAACTCAGCCATTGGGTTAAATGTTTAAATTAAAATTTTAACCCAACATTTGGGTTTGTCCATATTTGACCCAAATTTGGGTTAAAACAACCCAGCATTTTTAGAGTGTAAAAATATAAAATAAAAAACACTACTGTTCAGAAGTTTGTGGTCATAAGATTATTATTTTTTTTTTTAAGAAACTAATACTTTTATAAAACACTGAAAAAAAATATTTTTGCTGCTTTTTCAAATTGCTTAATTAAAATGAGCTTAAGCAACACAATTGCTGTACATTTTGTCCAATCTTAATTTGATTGCATTCAATCTGCTTAAATATATGTAAAATGTAAGTTTACTTAATCCGTTTGTGTTGGATTACATGAATGATTTGTGTTGCATTAACTGAAACTGTGGGTGGTGCTTGTTAGTTCCCAGAATGCTTTGCATATGTTGAAATATAAATATAAATGTTGAAATTAAGTGTTATTTTATGCGTTTTTGAGAAAATTAGAAAAAGGGGTTATCATGACTTGATGGTGCGTAGACGTGTTTATTGTTTAATGTGAAGAAGAGGAGCAAGACTGAAGACTGATTCATCAATACTCATAGCAAATGACTTGGCTGATGAAGCACGTAAATCTTAGCATTTCAAATGCTAAAAAGTGCTAAATAGTTGGCTATAGTCTAAAAATGGATTAGTCTGACACTAAAAGAAACTATATTGCATTGGATGAATGGTCAAAATGAGTCGGTCTAAAACATTGCAAAATAGTTGAGCCGACACTATTAAATGAAGCTGTGCCCAACAATTTATAGTAAATAAGTTGAATCAAACATAATAAATTGAGTTGACCAAACGCAATACATTAAAATGGAATAACAGAATTGCATAATGCTGAAATAAAGCAAGTTAATCATGTGGAAATCCTTTTCATGGTTTCTTTACCTTCATTCAAAGAGTTATTTTTTTAAGTGAAGCATGCATACAGTAAATAAATGTATAATATTGCAAAATTTGATTAATGATGATATTTTGAACAAATGCATCAAAGAAAAAATCTATAAGAAGCGGCACGATTGATTTTAAAATGAACTTGAGCACATTATTAGAACGATTTCTGACAGATCATTAAACAAATTTGTTTTCTACATCAAATAAAATATAACTGAAAATGAAGATTCCCATAGGGATGTACTATAAACACATATATATACACATATATACAGTATATATATATATATATATATATATATATATATATATATATATGAAGAGTTCAGATGCAAAAGCCTCTAAATGCCATTTGAAATTTTCTTCTTTAATGATGATTTTTATCAAACTTGTATATTTAAGTTCAGTGATTTCACTTAAATGGCAATGATAATTACCTATTAATTGTTATTTAAGTGAAATTACTGAACTTAAATATACAAGTTTGATAAAAATCATCATTAAAGAAGAAAATTTCAAATGGCATTTAGAGGCTTTTGCATCTGAACTCTTCATATATACACACACTGTACAGGCATATCCTGTGAGCTAGAACCCGAGCACTTGACCCTCCTTAAGAACACAAAAAACACAAGAAAACAGAAAAAGAAACGAAATGGGAGGCCATTGGGAGCCCTCATATCTCATCTCTATTAACGGGTTTACTGGTGACCCCAGGGGTGCTCGTAAAAGTTTACGCCCAGGTTTCGGACCGAGTCCCCTCTGAAAGAATGAAAGAAATGGGTTAGTTTATGGTTCGCCTTCAGGGTTTTACTGCATGTTTTACTAAAGCTCTCGTTTTAACAGACCCTGGTTCTAATTAGCCAGGCAGTGGCACCGCGGCCGGCCCAAAAACTTCCTTTCTTCTCCGAGGGAGAAAGTGAGAGAGCGAGCGCACGAGAGAGACTGTAATTGACTGTTGATCTGGGAGGACACACGTAGGTCAGGTTGGGAGGTGAAGGAGACCAGTATTGGCTGAGATATGCTGCCACTTCAGGAATGTAATGAACAGCTCCAGTCATAAAACGCTGGGCCCCGTATATCATATCTTTTCTAAACACATTTGTGGTGGAGAGGGTAAATCTGTGTTACCTCGGCCGTCAGGAATGTCTTCACGGAGAGAGGAGAGAGCACATCATCCCAGATGAAACGGAAAAGCAGCGCGCTTTCAGCAAGTGCTGCGACTGGAGAGAGAGAGAGAGAGAGAGAGAGAGAGAGAGGGATGATATCACATCACACACATATGAACAAAGAGTGTGTTAGGACCAGAGCTGGGGAGCGTTGTATTACTCTTAAAAACGTTAATAATTGAGTTCTTGTGTGAATGCTAATCTTGCATTACTTTTCTCACCATCATTGCATTAAGGAAACAGTTCTGCAGGGTTCAGTTGTTGGTCTTTAAACGGACATTTCACCCAAAAAATATATATATATTCTGTCATTTACTCACCCTCATGTTTTTCCAAACCCGGATGAGTTTATTTCTTCTGATGATATTTTGAACAATGCTGGTAACAAGACAGTCCCCTTCCATCATTTGTTTTTTCCCTATGGAAGTCAATGGGTGCCATAAGCTGTCTCACTGTAAAAAATTTTGTTGGTTTAACTTAAAAAAATGAAGTTTCCTTAAAGGAGTAGTTCACTTTTGAAAAAACGTTTCCTGATAATTTACTCCCCCATGTCACCCAAGATGTCCATGTCTTTCTTTCTTCAGTCGAAAAGAAATTAAGGTTTTTGATGAAAACATTCCAGCATTTTTCTCCATATAATGGACTTCAATGGGAACCAAACGGTTCAAGGTCCAAAAGACACTTTTAGTACAAACTGCAAACTGTTCAAAGGGATTTAAACGATTCCAGACGACGAATAAGGGTCTTATCAAGCGAAATGATCACTCATTTAATAAATAAATAACAAAGTTTAAGTTTTATAAGCACAAATGCTCGCCTTGCTCTGTTCTGTGATGAGCGTTCGTGACTCTCCTGAGAATCAAAATTAACAAATCGTTTTTCGAGTCATGACTCAAAGGGTCTTAGATAAGACCCTTATTCACCGTCTGGTGTCATTTAAAGCTGCACTGAAACTCTCATTTGGACCTTGAACCGTTTGGTTCCCATTGAAGTCCATTATATGGAGAAAATCCTGGAATGTTTTCATCAAAAACCTTAATTTCTTTTTTTAACTGAAGAAAGACATGGACATCTTGGATGACATGGGGGTGAGTAAATTATCAGCAAAAGTTTATATTTTTTTTAAAGTGAACTACTCCTTTACATTTGTACATGAATGACTTTTATTGAATGTGCACTTAGTGTACTTCAAATATTAAAACAATGATTCTTTGAATTGCTTTGTTAATAATACAGTATGAAAACACTTTTATATGTAGCTTTTGTTTCTAATTATTGTGCCTTTGTCACTTTTCAGACACATTTAGTTTTTTTTTCCATCAAAAACTAGCGACTAGCAACAAATCGAGCGACTTTTTGGACAGCGTAGTCAGTCACTATTTCACTCAGTCCATTGTCTGACAAATATTTAAATGAGAACAGTTTTTTTTGGACATTCAGCAATAAATATATGTGAGCATGAGAGAAAACAGATGTAAAATGAAGACAGTTAGCACGTTGGATGTCATTTAGCTACTTTCTGAGCAGGCTTTAGCTCCTTTGAAAATAGTTGGCATCACTGAATCTGACGATTGCATGACAAAATCTAGCATATTTATATCATTAAGAAGATTTTTTACATTTTGATGCTTCTCACCATTGTGTGGCTAGATGTGGCTCAGTGCAAGTCTGTGGGATTTCTGGCCTCATCTGGTCTTCGATACATCAGGAAGACTGTTGAGAACTGAACAAAGAACCACAATAATGAATGATTGCACACAGGTTTCATTGAGAGCTCAGTATTAAGAGAGGAATGCACCATTGAGGACGTCCTGTGGCACGTCTGTAATTCATATCTGTCATTCAGACGGACAGAAGACGGCAGTCTGCCAAGGAGGGAGATCCAGTGAGAACGAGAGGGAACATGACACACAACACGTTCATGTGTTCCAGCAGAGGGTAAAGAAGTAAAGTGCCTCCGGCGCTCTCACAGGCAGCCCATCCGAGTCCTTCACACACACACACCGTCTCTGGGGGCGGATGTTTGCCAAACTGCCCCAGATCAGCAGCTCGGCCAGGCTGTCCTCTCCCACTAGGCTAAACTGATGGGACACGATACCAACACTTGCTTGCTTCAGGGGACAACTGGACACGTCTCCTGTCTCATGTTCTCATGAGTGCCAGTGATATTTCGCGTCAGCTGGGTGGGTAACAATCATTAAACACGTTTTTCTTTATAAAGAATTAACGAAACTGGGCTGGGTTTCCAGAAGCACTAAGAACAACGCCAGTGCGCTTAATCTTCTCAAAACGCTTCCCAGAAGCATTGTTATCTACTGTAAGAAGCACATCAAACTGCTAGCTTTGGACCACGTGAGTGCACTACACTACATGAAAGACATTTTTAGATCGTTCACAGTTATTAGAAGAGAATGACACTTTATAAAATGACATGAATGCATTTTGATCAATACAAAGGCACACTAAACTATTACAGAGATTAACAAATGTTTTTTTTTTTTAAAGTAGTTCACTTAAAAAAAAAAAAAAATAACCCATGTCATCCAAGAAATTAAAAAAGGTTTTCGATGAAAACATTCCAGGATTTTTCTCCATATAATGGACTTCAATGGGAACCAAACGGTTCAAGGTCCAAAAGACAGTTTCAGTGCAAACTGCAAACTGTTCCAAGGGCTTTAAACGATTCCAGACGATGAATAAGGGTCTTATCAAGCGAAACGATCGCTCATTTAATAAATAAATATGAAAGTTCAAGTTTTATAAGCACAAATGCTCGCCTTGCTCTGGTCTGTGATGCGCGTTCGTGACTCTCCTGTTCGAACTCGTTCATCAAAATGAACAAATCTTTTTTCCGAGTCATTTGGTTTATTCAACGAACGAAATGAACGAATTGACTCGGAAAAGATTCGTTCATTTTGATGAACGAGCTCGAACAGGAGAGTCACAAATGTGCTTTCCCATTGAAGTGCATTATATGGAGAAAAATCCTGGAATGTTTACATCAAAAACCTTATTTTTTTCAACTGAAGAAAGAAAGACATGGACATCTTGGATGACATGGGGGTGAGTTAATTATCAGCAAAAGTTTTTTTTTTTTAAAGTGAACTACTCCTTTAATGAGAATGATGAGCCTTTTATAGTGATCCACATTGAGTATAACCCCTTCATGCATTTATCTCGGGCCGCTTTCATTAATCTCCAAAAGGTGACGTGTAATTTCCATGTCTGGCAGGATTTTTGTGTTGGGAAGACAATCTTGGACATATTAGTAAAGGTTTAACACCTTGGCCGAACAGCCCAAATCCTCTTCATTTGCAAACTGAGTGTGAGTGAGTTCATTCTCGCAGGGATTTGTATTAATGATGGTGCTCTTGTCATTGCAGGTCAGCTCTGCTCTCCAGGTAAATGGTTTTGGAGGAGGATTGTGAATGAGGTAGAGGTAACGTTTCGGTCAGAGCTTAATCAGAGCTTGGCTCACGTCGGACACTTTTAGGAAAGTATGTTTGCATAATATGTCTTTTTGCAAATAAACTCCTCTGCATCACAGAGCAGAAAGAGAGAGCATCGCTCAAAGTTTGCTCTTCCGTGGCTCAGGAAACATAGCGGGATAGTTCACTCAAAAATAATAATTCTGTCATAATTTACTCCCCTTCATGTCATTCCAAAACTGTATGACAGTCTTTATTCTGTGTAACAAAAAAACAAACAAAAACGAGATTTTTTTTTGTCCATATAATGGAAGTCAATGGGGTCCAAAATTATTTAGTTCAAAGTGTTCAACATATCATCTTTTATGTTCTGAAAGAAAGTTGTACAGGTTTGGCACGACTTGAGGAATATGCCATAATTTTCACTTCTAAGTCGACTATCCTTTTAGTGGAATGCTCAGTTTAGTTTATTTAAGATATCAACGTTGTCTCAGATGTTTCTCCTTAGGAGAAATAAGAAATGAGACAATAATTGATATACAGTAATATTACAGAGCTATAAAATGAATGCATATAGCAGTTCAGGTCATTTGGTTTTTGGAGAATTGCAGTGTTGTTAAAAAATAGTTTTTGGAAATTGAAACAAAGCTGAAATGGAGCAAAATAAAATAGGAAAGAATTATGTAAAATATGAAGAGTTCAGATGCAAAAGCCTCTAAGTGCCATTTGAAATTTTCGTCTAAAATGATCATTTTTATCAAGCTTGTATATTTAAGTTCAGTAATTTCACTTAAATGGCAATGAAGATTACCTATTAATTGTCATTTAAGTGAAATTACTGAACTTAAATATACAAGCTTGACAAAAATGATCATTTTAGAAGAAAATTTCAAATGGCACTTAGAGGCTTTTGCATCTGAACTCTTCATATGTTGATTTGAAGTAGTACAATTACTGAAACTTAAAGGTAAATATTAAAAATACAAAGACAATGAAGATGACAAAAACAACAAAATTGAAAAGTGAAAATATAATATAAAATTTAAAACAAAATACTACAATTAAGAATAATTACTATAATAGCATATAAATAATACTAAAATAATATTGTGTTCATATTGTGATAACTTTTTGTCTTCAGTGTCAATTTGAGATTACGGGGTCTTTTTCAAAATTTTAGAAGCAAAAGACTAAGAAAAACAATTAAATTGAAGATATTAAAGTGATTTCATCCTATGGGAAGAAAGAGTGAAAGACATACAGATTGAGTGTTCGCGCTCTAGCAGGTCCTCATAAAACAGCAGGCCCTTCCTGTTTGTCATAGCCAATTGTGTTTGCACAAGAACTCAGTGGACCACAGACCTGGGAGATAGATGTGAAACCAGGAAGATTTCATCCATCAAAACATTTACAGGACCGAAGGAATAATCTCTCCGAGTCTGCGGCTCGATTGCATGCGGTCTGCGGCAGTTGTTGGAGAAATACTCAATGACATGAATATCTCCAGCGTTCTAACACTAGCCTTCCCTCCTCCCGTGCAACCTTGAATCGCAGCCAAACGCATGAGCCGGGCTGGTTAATTGACATAACAGGCCCTTCATCTCCGTCTCGGGCCCGTAGCGGGTGAAAGAAAGTGTTAAGACGTGCTACAAGTGGTCAGCCGACACTTCAAAGTGTCCCGGAGCATGTGCAGTCACATTGGTAGCGTGATGGGTTTCTCTGATCCGACAACTACAGCCACGTCTTGAAGAGTTGCAAACCCTCTGTTTGGAGCATTTCCAGATTCCGACAGGAATTGGGAATATAAACGACACCATCCATGTGTGTTTAATATGTAGTTCCTGAATGAGAGGTTTTTAATGTTAAGCTGATATATCTGGATCTGTGCTATTTTAGTATCATCGAGATAATGTTATAATATTTGAAATAAATGTTTAATTACCATTTTAATTTGAAATGATTCGAGCTTTGTGACATGGTGCATTATCCTGCTGGAAGTAGCCATCAGAGGATGGGGACATGGTGGTCATAAAGGGACGTACATCGTCAGAAACATTGCTCAGGTAGGCCGTGGCATTTAAACGATGCCCAATTGGTCAACACCGATGCCCAACATCCCCCACACCATTACACCACCACCACCAGCCTGCACAGTGGTAACAAGGCATGATGGATCCATGTTCTCGTTCTGTTTACGCCAAATTCTGACTCTACCATCTGAATGTCTCAACAGAAATCGAGACTCATCAGACCAGGCAACATTTTTCCAGTCTTCAACTGTCCAATTTTGGTGAGCTCTTGCAAATTTTAGCCTCTTTTTCCTATTTGTAGTGGAGATGAGTGGTACCCGGTGGGGTCTTCTGCTGTTGTAGCCCATCCGCCTCAAGGTTGTGTGTGTTGTGGCTTCACAAATGCTTTGCTGAATACCTCGGTTGTAACGAGTGGTTATTTCAGTCAAAGTTGCTCTTCTATCAGCTTGAATCAGTCGGCCCATTCTCCTCTGACCTCTCGCATCATCAAGGCATTTTGGCCCACAGGACTGCCGCATACTGGATGTTTTTCCCTTTTCACGCCATTCTTTGTAAACCCTAGAAATGGTTGTGCGTGAAAATCCCAGTAACTGAGCAGATTGTGAAATACTCAGACACCAACAACCATGCCACGCTCAAAATTGCTGAAATCATCTTTCTTTCCCATTCTGACATTCAGTTTGGAGTTCAGGAGATCGTCTTGACCAGGACCACACCCCTAAATGCATTGAAGCAACTGCCATGTGATTGGTTGATTAGATAATTGTAGTAATGAGAAATTGAACGGGTGTTCCTAATAATTATTGTATATATAAAAAGACTTCATATATCCATAAAGTTTTCATTAGTTTTATTTTGGTAAAATAAAATAAATTTTTTGAATTTTCAATATTTAATTTTAGTTCAATTAAAGTTTATTCATTTTAAGACTATTTTTTAAATGGTTTTGGATGTATACAACCCTGCTCTGGATAGAAGCATCTGCCAAATGCATAAATACACAGTGATACATGCGTTTGGTGTACAGTGACATAAGATAATACTTTAGATTTTATATTTGTGAAAATTAACAATGATTTTTTTATTTTGAAAAATTAAAAAACTAAAAAAGTTGGAAATGAATAATAAACATTCTCACATTTTCTGACTCTGATTATCTGCAGACTTTTAAACACCCCTATTTCCACTGAAATCATAAATAAAGCTGGATAACATGAGCATGTTCATGTCAGCTCCAGTGTCGTTATTAAAACACAGAGACATTCTCAAATCAATGTTCAAATAAGTTTATAACCCAAAATACTTTACTAATAATATCATTTTTTTAAGAAGAAAAAATGACCGCATTGCAAAAGATTGCAAAAGGGAAATTTGGGACCAACTCTACAGTGAAATATTCAGGGCCAACATAAGGAAAAGTGTTTGTGTGTGTACTTGTGTTTTTTCTTCTCATAGTGTTGTGTACAGATTTACAGACCTGCATATGTTTCCCAGTCTCCATACCATGGAGAATTGTGTTTTGATTCATCTCCTGCATTACTCATATGATTGCCTTCCTCAATGGACTAGTCCAGGATTATTAACCCTCGATTTCCTGGTAATTATGCTTTAAATTTACACACTGTTTGCATTTATGCTCTTGACAGACGCTT